TGGTCAAAGCGAAAGTAGCCAAAGCGGAAGTAGCCAAAGCGGAAGTGATGAAAAAAACTGAATTACATCTGAAAAAACAAAATTCCATTAAGCCAAACTGGGGGATGACAGGTATTTTAGAGCAACAGGGTGGTCAGTTGACACATGGACTCAATTTATTTTTAATAATTTAAACATAAAAATATTTTGATATCATAAATAGTCATTGGATGAGAATTATTATAAATAGTACTATTAAAAATTATTTTGAAAATGACTTTATTATTATTACTTAGAATTGTAACTTAATTTAGGAAGCATGGAAGGGGACATGACAGTAAACCCAAGTTGCATTTAAAATTAGATTTATTTAATTTAATTTTTTTCATTTAGTCTTTATTTATACAGGTAGTCCCATTGAGCCACGAGAACTAATTTTCAAGAGAGACCTGTTTGAGGAGCAGATGGGGGTTAAGGGCCTTGCTCATGGGCCCAGAGTGAGGCGAATGAGGGTGGGGGCAAGTGTGGGTACTTCACCTACCCCACCCACATTTTTGATGTCGTCGGTACCGGGGCGTGAACCGGCGATCTTCCGATCACAGGCCCACCTCCTCTAACCTCTGCGCCACCACTCCCCCCTAGAATAAATAAATAAATAAATAAATCATAAATAATCATCAATCATCTAAATAAATTCATCTTGTGTACATGGTTGTGTTTTATGGTAGACGGGAGTCAAACATATAAGATAAGATTAACAAAATAAACATTAGCCCACCTTAAAACAAAATATACCACATTATGGCATGAGGACTCAAAAGGCACTGGACAGTAGGAATGACCCTACTATACACTGTTCTGTTTTATGTTGCTAAAGTTAAAAAAAAAAAAAAACATTTCCACTTTGGCTTAATTTAATTCCATTTCTTTTTTTCAAATTTAATTCTGTTTTTTCAAATGTTCTTGAGTTTTTGTTGTGTTTTTTCAAATGTAATTTCATTTTTTGAAATGTTCATTTACAACTCAGGGCCACCATAAATGAGGCTATTAAAATGCTTACGGATTTTACTCTTAATTACAGGTTTAGTGCAACAAAATTAGTCTAATTGTGGCTACACGTGTTAATTTTCAGTCAGAAGACACAATTTGAGAGAAGCCAGTTGAGGTGGTTCGGGCATCTGGTAAGGATGCCCCCTGGGCGCCTCCCTAGGGAGGTGCTTAGGGCGAAGCACCTCCCTAGGGAGGCGCCCAGGGAGCACCTCCCTAGGAAGGCGCCCATGCTTCGGGCATGCCCAACTGGGAGGAGACCCCAGGGAAGACCCAGGACATGCTGGAGAGACTATGTCTCTGGGTTGGCCTGGGAATGCCTTGGGGTTACCCCAAATTAGAGATGGAAGAGGTAGCTGTGGAAAGAGATGTCTGGGCCTCCCCGCTCAAGCTGCTGCACCCGCAACCTGACTTTGGAACAAGCGGAAGATAAACAATGAATGGATGGAAGACACAGTCCAGGTAAGAACCTGGCAACTATCACCAAATCCAAACTAGAATACCATTATTGGACTCAAGTTAATGCAAACTCAAAGGGTGACACCTTTTAACTAAAATGAACTCAGCTCAGACCACTATCCGTATACTTCAGAATAATCCAAACAAAATCCTCGTGAGTTCATCCTCCTCCTTCGTGTTTATTGAACAGTGATAGTTTGGTGGCACGAGTCAACAAGATGTCTGGACAGAACCAACACCGTCATCATCACAGACATGTATTTATATCAGACCAAACGTGACCAAAGTGCTCATAAATTAAAAAAGTTTTTTTTTTTTTTTTTTTTTTTACAGTTTACACACAACACACGATGCAGTTACAGTCAGAGGTTATTTACAGAGTTTCCAAGGTGAAATATTCCCTGGTGGTGTTCAATGGTCTCATGACCTCGTTTTGGTTTTAGGGGTCTTTCCCACTGTCTTTACTGGTTCTTTCTTCAGATCTTTCTGAATGCTGGCGACTTTCAACCCCAGGTCTCTGATGTGGACTCTGACATTGGTCAGGCTCCTCTGCCAGGCAGCATCCATTTTTATTGCCTTACATGTTTGGTTGTAGTTCTCGCAGGTCTTAGTGTCTCTTTTGGATGCTGTGCTGGAGCCACCAGTTTTCTTTGTTCCCTGACGGTCCCAGATGTCCGGCTTCACAGGACTCAAGTTCTCAGAATTATGACTTTCTAGCCTTGGTTCAACCAAAGCAGGTGTATCTGGAGAGTCCAGCACCCTTACTTCCATACTCCAGATGTTAGCGTTTGCCTCTCCTTTTAAATGTGCAGGATTAAAATTCCAAGTGTTCTTATTCTGAAGCTGACTTGAGTTGGAACTATTGTTTACCACTTCGGTGTCAGAATTCCCGTAGCTTCTACATCGTAGTCTCTGTGGTTCCCATGCATTGCCATCAACCCCAGAGTTAAATGTGGTGTTTTCTTGGTGGTGTTGTTCCCAGTTCTTAAAGTCCCCTGTAGAGTCCGAGTCAGTGGACCCATTGATCCCAGGATTCTGGATCTGTTGTCCTTGTGGTTCCCAAATGCTGGCAGTAACCGTGATGCCTGGCTTTGTCAAAGAGGGAATTTCAACATTTTTACCTTCTTGTTTGTGTGGTTTCCACTTGCTAACATGCAATTTAGATACAGGAGCTGAACGTTGCAGTCCTAAGTTGGATTCTGTAGTTCTGACTTTAGGATCAGGTTTTGCATCTTGCTGCTGCGGCGGTAATGGTGGTACGATACATTGAGGTGGGCTCAAAGATGGGGGTTGTGTCAGGGGTGGAGAAGCTTCGAGTGTGTCCCAGCGACTGTCCACAGACTCCAGAGAGGAGCCCAGCATGCCAGCAAGCTCCGGGGTGGCTTCCACTAGCTCCAAAGGGTCCCTAACATTGGGTCTAAAGGAGGCCAGCTCCTGTTCATCTGGACCTGTCAGGAGCTGGGACAAGGACGCCTGCTGGTAGAACTCATCTTCAGGTATGGACTGAATGTTCAGCTGTGGGAAGAGGCGGCGGAAGGAGCGAGACGTCATCCGAAGCCGACCGAGGACATCTGCGAGGAGGAGCCAGTTTCTGGGACTGAAGGAGGAAAAGAAAAAAAAAATGCACAAAGTTTATATTTAAATTCTAATTCTAAGACTTGACAAGACGTTTAAATTTGACTTTGTCCTTGAACATTTAAAATTTGACTTATTACTGATTTATCCAAGATATAAACACAATCTAAAGTATTTAAATACAAAACGATTCTGGATAATCATTAAAGAGTGGTGTCATCAGCAAAGTCATGAGGTAGCTATAACTCTTTGTTGTTCGCACAATGTAAATACTATCTAAACATTTAAAGTCCTATTTACAGGTCAGATCTGATAAATCTACACTATGAACAAAAATTCTGCAGATGAAAAGATCTAGAATTAATCTTCCAGGACTAGAGTTGGACTAAAGACTCTGAATAAGCCCAATTTCGAGAAATTAAAGAACAGAAAGCCATCCGAGAAAAACCACGCTCACACACTTTTTTATTTTAATCACACTCATATACATGTGTGTGTGTGTGTGTGTGTATATATATATATATATATATATATATATATATATATATATAAATTCCTGCTTGTTGTTATCGCACGTCTTTTCACACTCAGACACCAATTAGGCTGCAGCTCAGGAAGGAGGAGGAAGCTGAGGAGGAGGGGAAGAAGAGGATGAAGAGCAGTGTGCGAGAAAGAGAGAGAGAAAGAGAGAAAGAGGAAAAAAGGTCCTTAGTGGAGGAGAGCGAGGACAGACGGAGAGGTCGTTAACGAGGATTGCATCGCCGTGGCGACGCAGCTAATTGGCTTCCACTCCGTCTTCCTCCCCTGTCGCTGTTCTCCGCCTCTCTTTTTCCCTCCGTGGCGTCTGATGTCGTATTAACGGCTCTTCCTGGATACAAGGCCACAGAGCAACGGCGCACACATTCACCGAGCTGCTTAACATTCAGACAGCAGCCGACGCAACATGTGGCCTCGTCTGCTGCTCTGTGTGTGCGTGTGTGTGTGTGTTAATCTGCCCTTCATACGCATCCATAGACATGATTAATCAATAACATCGCGACTGATGTTTTCAGTTTCAACAGCAGGATTTATAAAAGACGAACCCTTGCCTTCTTTTCTATTCTTGTCATTTTCACATTCAACAAAGGAAAAGAAGTCCTGGTTTTACCCTTAGAACATAAATAAATGAACTTAAATGGTCAAACCATCTGTTTTTTCTGTAAAAAAACCCCCAATAATAATAATAATAATATGTATGTACATACATACGTATGCATGTATGTATGTATGTGTGTATGCTTGTATGCATGCATGTTTGTATGTATGTAGAAGTGCTCCAGGGTATCTCTTCCAAGCCTTGATACATGGTGAAGAGTACATGGTGAAGGATATAAGAAGGGCAACTGATGTAAAAGACTTTTGCCAAAACAAAAAAACAAGTGAGTTTGTCAATTGACAACATACAGGATCAGTTGAAGCCAACTGCCAAAAAATGTGCTACTGTTAGTTAAAGCCCACGAGGAGGGATATGTGCCAGGAAACAGAGGGAGAAGATGAAAGTCAAGAATGTAGGACTGTGGGTAGCAACTCTAAATGTAGGGAAAATGACAGGCAACGGTAGAGAGCTGGCAGACATGATGCAGAGAAGGAAGGTAGCTGTATGTGTGTAAGAGACCAAGTGAAAGGGCAACAAGGACCGCAGCTTTAGAGCAGAGTTACCATGAAATGGATAAGGAGAAAAATAGAGTAGATGTGGTCCTAAAGGAGGAATTTGTAAGGAATGTAGTAGAGGTGAAAATGCCAGCATTCAGACCACTGGTTAAAGTCAACAAACCAGTTCTGAAGCAGATACGAGTGTGGCCTGAGGGCTCATCTGAGGCACTCCAGGACTGTTTTAGCACCACGGACTGGAATGTGTTTAAAATGGCTGCTACTCACAACAACTTCACTGACATTCAGGAGTACACAGAAACTGTCTCTGCTTATATCACAAAGTGCATTGATGATGTAACTGTCCTGAAGACCATCACCATCCGTGCTAATCAGAAGCCATGGCTGACAGGTGAGGTCCACAAGCTGCTGAAGGCTAGGAATGCTGCCTTCGCCGCTGGAGACCAGGCAGGCCTGAAGACAGCTAGGGCCAACCTGTCCAGAGGCATTAAAAAAGCTAAGAGGCAGCACTCCAAGAAAATAGCCCAACACTTCAAGGACAGCAGAGACTCTCGGAGCCTGTGGCAGGGAATTCAGTCCATTACAGACTACAAACCCTCTCCACAGACCTGTGACAGCACCCCCTCCCTGCTGAATGACCTGAACAGGTTCTTCGCTCGGTTTGAGGCACAGAATGGCACACCTGCACAAAAAGCCACCCCCCCTCCTGGAGACCAGGTGATCACACTGTCCCCGGACAAGGTGAGGAGAGCATTCAGCAAGACCAACGCTCGGAAAGCTCCTGGTCCCGACAACATACCTGGTCGCGTGCTGAAGGACTGCGCTGGCGAATTAGCAGAGGTGTACTCTGACATCTTCAACACCTCACTGAGCCAGGCTGTGGTCCCCACGTGCTTCAAAACCACCACCATAATCCCTGTCCCCAAGAAAACGTCTCCCTCCTGCTTCAACGACTACCGCCCGGTTGCACTCACTTCCATCCTCATGAAGTGCTTCGAGCGACTAGTCATGCAACACATTAGGTCCTCCCTCCCCCCCTCCCTGGACCCCTACCAGTTTGCATATCGGTCAAACCGCTCGACTGATGATGCCGTCGCCACTGCTCTTCATTCAGCCCTCACACATTTGGACAAGAAAGACACCTATGTCAGAATGCTCTTCATCGACTTCAGTTCTGCATTCAACACAATCATTCCACAACAACTCATCTGGAAACTGGACAGTCTGGGTCTGAACACATCACTGTGCAACTGGCTGCTTGACTTCCTTACCGGAAGACCACAGGCAGTACGGGTTGGCAGCAACACATCCAGCATCATCACTCTGAACACGGGGGCCCCACAAGGATGTGTGCTGAGCCCCCTTCTGTTCACTCTACTAACCTACGACTGCTCTCCATCACACCCCTCCAACCTCTTCATCAAGTTTGCGGACGACACGACTGTGGTAGGCCTCATCAGCAACAACGATGAGTCACTCTACAGGAGCGAGGTGAGCCGGCTGGTCTCCTGGTGCAAACGCAACAATCTCTTGCTGAACACAGAGAAGACCAAGGAGATTGTTGTGGACTTCAGGAGAACTCAGACAAAACATGCTCCACTATCCATCAACGGTGTTGTTGTGGAAAGGGTGAGCAGCACCAAGTTCCTGGGTGTGCACATCTCTGAGGACCTCTCCTGGACCATCAACACAGCAGCAGTGGCCAAAAAGGCTCACCAACGGCTCTACTTCCTCCGCAAGCTGAGAAGAGCGAGAGCCCCCACCCCCATCATGACAACCTTCTACAGGGGGGCCATCGAGAGCATCCTGATGAGCTGCTCCACTGTGTGGTACGGGGCCTACACAGCATCCTGCCGCAAATCCCTCCAGCGGATCGTGAGGACAGCTGAGAAGATCATTGGCACCTCTCTCCCCTGCCTTCAGGACCTCCACAGCTCTCGCCTCAGAAGTAAAGCCCTCTGCTGGGTGGGAGATCTTGACCACCCGCTACACTGCTTCTTCAACCTGCTGCCATTAGGGCGGAGACTGCGTAGCCTCAGTTCTAGGACCAGCAGACTGTGGAACAGCTCCGTCCATCAGGCCGTGAGGATGCTGAACTCTCTGCCTGCCCCCCCTCAGCCCCCTCTCCCACTTCTGCCACCCTGCACACACTAACTCAGCTTCCTGACACCCCCCCCCCC